GGTCCTCGGGGTCAAGGAGGCCGCAGTGGGTAGGTTGGGGGCAGGGGAGCCTTCTGTCTAGAACGCCAGCCGTACCTCGGCCTCTGGCGCTGTTTGGGGGTCTAGAGTGGGGGAGTCGGCCAGCTCTTCGGAAAAGGCAGGGTGTGGCCGCTGAGCGCCTGTGGGTGCTACGGCGGTTAGAGATCTCATAGGACCTCAAGTCTCCGAACCTCTCGAAGTTTTCCCGAGACCCTTCTAATCCAGCAGCCTTCCTAGTATAGTTATGCATTACAGGCTCTGAAAGCAGACCTGGTTTGTAATTCTGGCTTCACTAATTCTCTGAATGGCATTGGGAATGTGACTTAATCTCTCCTCATCTGAAAAATAAGGTGCACGCAAACTACGTCATACAGCGCTGGCACGGAGTTAAAAAAAAGTCGTATTAGCTGTGGTATTAGTTGCTCTCTCCGCCTGAAACCCCTCTTGTGACATAGTATTGTAATTGCATCCTTTGCTTCTCACTGACTGTTAGGGACACCAGGATTGAGCTCTGTCTCTTACCCTTTAGCATATTGACCTGCCACATGTCATTTCTTTCAACACTTGTTAAAGTGAATAAAGGAATTATAAATGACTATAAGAAAAATGCCTAACAACGTGGAGAAGTAAATGAGGGGTGGGGTATAATATTGAGCTCATTTGAGGGAAAGCATCTCCCTGTACCTGTGTGTCTGTGCAGAAGTGCTGTTCCAGAGTGGCTTCATGGGGAAAGTGGATGTAGGGTTTGACCAGAATCTCCAGGGATAAAATTTAGAAACAATATAATAGTGAAAGTTTAGGTAACCAATTTGGCATCAAAGGTTCAGGGTGAGTTGGGGTTTTTTCTTAATTAGGTTTGAAAGAACTAATGGAAAAAACTCTTCTCTGTAGATAGAAAATTGGTTTTCCTACCAGAACACACTGAGTGTATGCCCAGCCTTTATGAAAGCCAACAGAGAAACAAAGCGCCTTTTTGTGGGTGGCCTTGGCCAGAGCATTTCTGAGATGGACCTACAAAATCAGTTTAGCAGATTTGGAGAAGTTTCTGATGTGGAGATCATCACTCGGAAAGATGACCAAGGTAAATTTATAGTCTTTCCTGGATAGTTAAAGGCAGACCTACCTCAAGTTAGTTATCACAAAATAAAGGAACCACCGAGATGAATGTTAGCCCCTGTGTATAATTGTAAGACACTGTCCTATATACCCCAGGCCATGCCCTGGAGGTATGATGTATGATGTGGAACTTGTCCAGAATTACATTCCTGAGATCAGAAATATTCTAAATTCTAAAGCATCAGATTTCTGAAACATGTAACTTTCAGTTTTCAGAGCTAACGTTCTAATACTCATTAAATGTCTTATTAAGTAGAATGTCACTAACATAATCATAGCATATTACATAATAACACAATCAACTGACCACTTGACATTTTTTCTTATTCATTTTTTTTAGGATATTTTGATAATCATACTTAGAAAACTGCAATTTTTGAGTCCAGTGAAAAATAAAGTTTTTCAACTTTAGAAACTTAATCATTTTTATATTGTTCTCTGGATAGGAGTTTAAATAAATGTTTCTGTTTTTTAGGAAACCCACAGAAAGTCTTTGCATATATCAACATCAGAGTAGCAGAAACAGACCTGAAAAAATGTAAGATGTTTTCTATATGTTTATGTCACTGCGTAACATCAAATAACTTTGTTCTAAATCTGAACTTTAACAGCCACTTTTTAAGTCATCCGGAGGGACAACTATGACCAAGAAAATTCCAGTATCCTGTAACTCAGCAGGTTTAGTTTCATACCATTTGGCATCAGCAGACATGTGGTAGCACATTTTCATGGGTTTGCTAAACAATGGTATTCTAAAATATTTTGGACAAGAAACAAAACTTTCATAGAAATTGCCTGTTACACATATCCCACTGGATACCCCTCCTTCTCCAGTGTGTTCATTTCTCAGGGAGGGTATCTTCTTGTCATTAAGGCCATATTCTTGGAATTAAAAAATGTCTATCAAGAAGTTTAGTAAAGCTGAGGGCAAACTGTGGTCTTCATTGAAGAAGAAGGGAAATAATCCATACTGCCACTGATGCAGAAATGTGTTCTAGTTATTTGGAAGCTGAAAAGTCAAGAGGTACTGCTAATAGAGAAAGAGGGCCATCACCCTTGCATTTCATTTTATTTGAAAAAACTCTATTCTGTTGTTCAGTGAGGAAGTAGATATAACAAGTTGTGGTTAAGAACACAGCGGCTCTGATGTGTGACCTTTAGCAAGTTAATTAAACTTCTAAGCTCCAGTTTGCTTATCTGATGTATAACAAATATATGGCTTGCCTCAATATTACTGTGAAGATCAAATTGAATAGTACCTTTGTATTTAAAATAGTGCCTACCAATACAGTCTTCTCTCTGATGGTGGTTATTATTAATGAACCTGATAGAAAATATTGAGAAAAATCAACCACTGGGGCATAGCCGTTCAAGCACAGTTCAGTCACTTGCAGCTAATTTGTTTGGAAATTACACAGTAGTAACTAGTATGAGGTGATAAATAAAAGTGAGGTGCTACAGAATTCCAAAGTGTCTTCTTATTTCCCTTACGAAAATTACATTAACATTTTATAGTTTTAGTGTGGGGAAATGTTAAATAAATATCAGTCATTCACCAGAGGTTTCTGATTAGTTTATAAACACATAACACTAATTTTGCTTTATAGTTTACACAGTTGACTCATTCATATCTCCCAGTCTCACTGGTAGGTATGGAATGTAAGTGCTCCACTCTTAAGTGGTCAAGGTGAGACCAGGATCTAGGCCTTTTCACTCCTTAGTCTGTTTTCTCTGCATCTCTTCATGATTGACAAGTCTGCTTTCCTTGGGATTAAATAATTAGAAAAAGCACATCCTGAAATGTATTTTTGCATTGCGATGTAATTGGGTAATAATTCTTTACTCTATAGGTATGTCTGTTTTAAATAATACAAAATGGAAAGGTGGAACACTACAAATCCAATTAGCAAAAGAAAGTTTTTTGCACAGGTAAGATTTGCTCTTTGTGAATTTAAACAGTATTTTTTATTTTGTAAATGATTTTGTATATTCACTTAATTGATTTGAAACTATCGAATAATGTATTCATTATGGTATTAGCAGATTCAGACATCTCAGCTGTGACTCCTCACAACCCCTGACTCCACCAATAAAGATAATGCAATGCATTTACATATGTATATTTTAAGCTATAAAAATATTTGCCTATGTTATCTTTTTTAAAACAGCCTTTTGTGGTGATATAGATCGTCCCTATTTTTTGTAACGACTATTTAGTACTATTTTGGAAAATTGCTATACCACAGTGTAGTTGGCCACCCCTCACTGATGGACATTTAGATTTTCCACCTTTTCATGATAATAGATGACCCTTGAGCATGGCTCCTGCATAATTCAAGACTTCCTCTGGGGTGTGGGGCTGCCAGAAGAGTTGCTTTGTCATTTAGTTATATACGCTTGAAAATTTAATTGGCACCACTAAATTGCTTATGTCATTTTTGACTGTTAATGCTAGTGTCATACAAAGATAAAGGTAATAGGAAATCCATTTGTGAGAGGCATAAGATTAATTAGCTAAGTGATTAAGAACAAGGCATTGTAACAGCTGTTTGAGTGTTTTAAGATTCTGAAGGCATTCTTGGGGAGGAAAGATTGTGTAAGTTTGGGAACTTTCAAAAGAGGAAACGTTTTAGGAACATACAGCTGGAGCGACCAATGTTGATAAGATTGTTCTAGATCAAGAAAAAGGAGTTTAAGGCAAGTGGTAAGCAGGAGGCATGTTTTTAGGGAGTGGTCTGGTGCGACAGGTGAGAATTGGATATTATTCTTCAGCTGGGAACATCTGTGAACAGTATAGTGATGAGGCTTTTATTCAGCAGCACTTCAGTCCCTACTATGTATAGGAGCTGGTGCCCCAGTCCTGAGCAGGGTGGGAACACAGTGCCACTGCCTTGAAGTGCCTGCAGGTGTGCCTTAGGAGCATAAACCTAAGAGTTCTGGAAGGTGGAATGTTGGGAAACAGACCAGAGGCAGAGAGCGATAGTCGATCAGCTCAGTGGTTCAGGCCTAGATGAGGCGGGGAGTTTGAATCAGCATTCTCTTCATTGGTGAGGCTAGAAACAGGACGTGGCAGACGGGGCTCTGAGACACCTGTTCCTCGTGAAGAAGAGGGAAAGGTTGGGAGGGATAAAGTGCCAGGAGTGCTCAAGCTGAAGGAAAATTGAGAGTCCCTATAATGAACACTGTAAAGTTAAATAGCATTATATTGTTTTTAAAAGTTAAATAATAAAACAAGCACCGTTAACAGCATGGTTGGTTTATTTATTCTATCCTTGATTCAGATTGGCCCGAGAGAGAGAAGAAGCCAAAGCAAAGAAGGAAAGATCAACAGTAGGCAACAGCAGCTTGTCAGAGAGGATGGGGATGGTGGACTTCCCTGGGAAAGCTGTGCCAGGGACAGAAGTACCCGGGCACAAAGTGAGTCTCTCCTGGTAGCCAGACTAGCCCAGGAACCTAATCCTGGGACCACCTGACTGGGTATCATGTCTAAAGCAGTTATTTTTAACATAGGTAATACTTTTAACATAATGCTTTATGGTTTTGAAAGTGCTTTCACAACTCTTGGGTAAGCACATTTCTCCTTCATTTTACAGGAACAAAAATCAAAACAAGTGGAGGCAGGTCTCCAGTGTCCGTATTTGGCATTGTGTGCTACCACCTAACGTCTGGTCTCCCTCCATCACCATGCATCTCACCCCTGCACCCTTTAATCCTCCCCCCGACAGCCTTTGTACTGTTGTCCATGTCTGTGAGCTTGTTTGTTCTGTTTGTCGCTTCACTTTTATGTCCTGTATGTGAGTGAAGTCACACAGTTCCCCATCTGTCAGTGTGGTCCCACGTGGCAGTATTCATCCTTCCTTATGCTTGAGGAGTATTCCATTGCATGTATCAGGTCTTTGTCGGTCATCCATCAAAGGACACTGTACTTAGGTTGTTTCCGTGTCTCAGCCACCTTGAATAATGCTGCAGTGAGCACAGGGGTACATACATCTTTACAGACACATTTTCAAACTTTCGGGTAGACATTCAGAAGAGGGATTGTAGGATCATAAGGTAGCTCTATTTCTAATGTTTTGAGGAACCTCCATGCTGTTTTCCATAGTGGCTGTACCAGTTTACATTCCTACCAGCAGTGTGCAAGGGTTCCCTTTTCTCTACAATACTTGTTATTACTTCTCTTGTTGATAATAGCCACTCTTACAGGTGTGGGGTTATACCTCGTTGTAGCTTTGATTTGCATTTCCCTAATAGCTAGTGAAGTTGAGCATCTTTTCATAAATCTGTTGGCCATTTGTATGTCTTGGGAAAAGTGCCTGCTCAGGTCCTCTGCCGATTTCTTAATTGTTTTGTTGTTGTTGAGTTGTATGAGTTCATTTATATTTTGGATATGAACCCCTTATCAGAGATATTGTTTTTAAATATGTTCTCTCCATCCATTGGTTGCCTTTTGTTAATTGTATTTTGCTGTGCAGAAGCTTTTTAGTTTGATATAGTTCCATTCATTCATTTTTACTTTTACTTCCCTTGCCTTTCGGGTCACATTCTGAGACCAAGGTCCATAAGTTTAGTGCCTATTTTTTTTTCTATGTTATTTATTGTTTTGGATCTTACATTTAGGTCTTTGATTCTTTTGCATGTGACTTTCCCAATTTTCCCAGCGCCTTTTATTGAAGAGGCTTCCTTTTCTCCATTGTGTTTTTGGCTATTTTGTCGAAAGTTATTTGCCCATATGCATGTGGATTCATTTCTGGGTTCTCAGTTCTGTTCCGTCGGCCTGTGTGTCTGGGTTTTGCCAATGTTTGATTATTGCCGCTTTATAGTGTAACTTGAAGTCAGTGAGTGTGGTACTGCCAGCTTTGTCCTGCTTTCTCAGGATTGCTTTGGCTATTCCCAGACTTTATGGTTTCATAAATATTTGATGATATTTTTTTTTGAGGGTACATTTATTAAAGCTGGGGTCAGTGAAACAAGAGAGGGCTTAGGATAGAAGAAGCAACAGGAGAGAGCCTAGCCGGGGCGACTTTGGCTCCCTAGAAATGTTATAGGAAAGAAACTGAGGCAGGGCTGCTTTAGCTGAGAAGTTCGAGAAGCAGAGGCTTTGGAAACTGGTTCCGGGGTTAGCCAGGAAACACCTGCCACTGCCCATTGTTCCCCTGGTTGCAAGTCTTCTGAGGTCCCTTAGAGTTTAGAGATGCCTGCCTGTGGGGGAAGAAGAGAGGGAAGGAAGAGTTTGCCTTGATGATTTTTTGGTTCTATTTCTTTGGAAAATGCCACTGGGATTTTGATGGGGATTGCATTAAATCTGTATACTGCTTTAGGTAATGGGGCTGCTACAGATATTCCATATCTTCACATTCCTTTGTATCTTCTTTAATTTCTTTCACCAATGTTTTATAGTTTGCCATTCCTTCACTTCCTTTGTTGTTGTTTTTTTGTTTTTTAATTTTAAGTATGTCTTTATTGATTTCAGAGAGAGGAAGGGAAAGGGAGAGAGATAGAAACATCAATGATGAGAGTCACTGATTAGCTGCCTCCTGCACTCCCCCACTGGGGATCGAGCCAGCAACCTGGGCACGTACCCTGACTGGGAATCGAACCGCGATCTCCTGGATCCTAGATCAATGCTTAACTGCTGAGCCATGCCGGCCCGGCCTTCCTTTGTTAAGTTTATTCCTAGGTATTCTATTTTTTGTAAATTCAAGTGGATTTTTTTTTTCTTTTAATGATATTTCATTGTTAGTATACAGGAACACAGTTGAGTTTTCTACATTGATTTAATATCCTGCAACTTTACTGTACTGTTATTTTTTATTGTTTCTAATAGTCTTTTGGTGGAGTTTTTAGAGTTATCTTTATACAGAATCATGGCTTTCTCTTTCCTATTGCTCTGGCGAGGACTTCCAGTACTATGTTGAGTAAGAGTGGTGAGAGTGGACATACTCGTATTGTTCCTGATCTTAAAAAAAAAGCTTTTAGTTTCGCCATTGAGCATGATGTTAGCTGAGGGATTTGGCCTTTATTTTACCGAGGTACTTCCTTCTCTACCCATTTTATTGAGTGTATTACTCATAAGTGGATGCTGTATCTTGTCAGGTGCTTTTTTCCGCTTCTGTTGTATGATCGTGGGACTTTTTGTCCTTCATTTTATTACTGTGTATCACATTGGTCATTTGTGTATGTTGAACCATCCTTGTGGCCCTGCAGTGAATCCCACTTGATTATGATGTATTATTTTTGTAATGTATTGTATTCAATTTGCTAGTATCTTGTTTAGGATTTTTGCATCTGCAGTCATCAGAAATACTGGGTTGTAGCTTTCTTTTTTTGTGGTGTCCGTGCAGGTGTTGGTATCAGGTTTTTGCCTCATAAAATGTGTTAGGAAATATTAGCTCTTTTTCAGTTTTTTGGAAGAGTTTGAGAAGGATAGGCATCAAGTCTCTGAATGTTTGGTAGAATTCACTAGTGAAGACATCTTGTCCTGGACTTTTATTTTTGAGGGGGTTTTTGATGACTTTCAGTTTCCTTTCTGTTGATCTATTTAGTTTTTCCAATCCTTCTTGATCAGTCTGGGAAGGTTATATATGTTTCTAAGAACTTGTGCATTTCTTGTATGTTATTGAATTTGGTGACGTATAGCCTATAATCCATTGTACTTTGTGTCCATTGTAACTTTTCCACTTTCATTTCTGATTTTGTTTGTCTTCTCTGTTTTTATTTTAGTGTGCCTAGCCAGAGTTTTGTCAATTTTATATATTTTTTTTAACAACCAGCTCTTTCTTGCATTAATTTTTTCTGTTGTTTTTTTTATTCTCTTATTTTATTTAATTTTGCTCTAATTTTTATTATTTCCTTTCTTTTGCTGACTTTGGACTTTGTTCTTCTTTTCTACTTCTTTACAGAGAAATGTTAGGTCGTTTATTTGAGATTTTTCTTGTATATTTAGGTGGGCGTAATGTTATAAAGTTGCCTTTTATTACTGCTTTTGCTCCATCCCCAAAATTTTGATATGTCATGTTGTCATTATCATTTGTTTCTGTATATCTTTTGCTCTCTTATTTATTTGCTCTTTGACTCCATGGTGGTTTCGTAGCATGCTGTTTAATCTTCACATATTTGTGGTTTTCCCAGCATTCTTTTTCCAGTTGATTTCCAGTTTCAAAGCATTATTGTTGGTGAATATGCTTGGTATGATTTCAATTTTATTAAATTTGTTTAGGCTAGTTTTGTGCCCCTACATATAGACTATCCTTGAGAATGTTCCGTGTGCACTAGAGAAGAGTGTGTAGTCTGGTATTTAATGTGAGAGCTCTGTAAGTATCAGTCATGTCCATTTGATCTAATGTGTCATTTAAGGCTGTATTTCTTTATTGATTTTCTGTTTGGATGGTCTATGCATTGCTTTCAGTGGGTATTTATGTTCTATGCTATACTTGTATTTTTGTCAGTTTCTCCTTCTATTTCTGTTCATTGCTTTATATATTTTGATACTCCTAGGTTGGGTGCTTATATGTTGGTAAGTGTTCTGTCTTCTTGACGTATTGCCTCCTTTATCATTATAAAATGCCCATCATTGTCTCTTGTTGCCTGTTTTATCTTGAAATTTACTCTGTCTGTTTTGACTGTGGCTACACCAGCTTTCCTTGAATACCACTTGCCTGGAGTTATCTTCCTCCACCCCTTCACTGTGATTGTCTTTGTAGCTGAGGTGTGTCTCCTGAAGGCAGCAAATAGTTGAGTTTTGTTTTTTAATCTATCTAGCAACTCTGTGTCATTTTATTGGTGAGTTCAGTCCATTTACATTTAGGATGATTACTGATGTATGAGAATGTCCTATAGCCATTTTATTTTTTGTTTTTGACAGCTCTGTGTCTCTTCACTGTTTCTTTTCCCTTATGTTTCTGTCTGTTATTTTAGTTAGTTGGTGTTCTATGATTTTTTTCCTCTGTTTTCTTTTTCTTATGTTATGTATCTCTGTTCTAGATTTTTGTTTGGTTACCATTAGGTTTATGCAAAAAATGTTTCATTTGTACATTTTTTTCCTTGTGATTGCACCTTATCTTCATTCACCTTGCAAGTTCAGTCCTTTTCTTCTCCCCTTTTATGTTTTTGTTGTCACAAATTATCCCGTTTTATGCTCTGTGTTCATTTCCAATTGTAGTAGCTGTTTGTCTTGTTAATTTTATTATTTTAATCCTTACCTGAGGATATGTTTTTATTGACTTTAGAGAGAGAGGAAGGGAAAGGGAGAGAGAGAGAAAAACATACATGTGAGAAACATCAGTTGGTTGCTTCCCATACACACCCTGACCCAGGGATCAAACCCACAACTTGGGTATGTGCCCTGACTGACTGGGAATCGAACCCTGTGATTTTTCAGTGCGCAGGAATGCTCCAACCAGCTGATCCACATTAGCCAGGGCTTGTCTTGTTTATTTTTAAATGCTTTTATCTCCTTTAACCTTTATGTTATATTTAAATGTTTAATACCTTATTCTGAACAAGAGTTACAATTTCCCCGCTTCTGTTAATCTTTTTGTATCCTTTTGTCTTTGTTTCAAGTTGAAGACTACCTTTCAGCATTTCTTGTAATGCAGGTCTTGTTGTGGGTAATTCCCTCAGCTTTTGTTTGTCCAGAAAAGCCTTATTTCTCTTTTATATGTAAAGGATAACTTTGCTGGATATATTATGTCGTGATGTCTCTCTTTACATATTTTGAATATTTGATTCATTCCATTCTCTCCCAGCTCATAGAGTTGCTGCTGAAAAATCTGATGGTAATTTAATAGGATTTATTTCATAGGTTACTGTCGTCTTTACCCTGGCAGCCTTGAGGATTTTTTCTTTTCATTAATTTTTGACAGCTTTTTTTTTTTTTAATTTTTAAAATTGATTTTAGAGAGAGTAAGGGAGAGAGAAAGAGAGAGAAACATTGATGTGAGAGAGAAACATCAATTGGTCGTCTCCTGTAGGCACCCTGATCGGGTATCGAACTGGCAACCTGGGTATGTGCCCTGACTGGTAATCAAACCCACGACCTTTTGGTGTATGGGACAACATTCCAACCAACTGAGCCACACCAGCCAGGGCAATTTTTGACAGCTTTAATATAATGTGCCTTCCAGAAGGCCTTTTGGGGTTGAGATAATTAGGTGTTCTGTATGCTTCTTAGGTCAAGTGTCCAGTGCTTTCCATAGGTATGAAAAGTTGTCATCAATTTTTTGTTTGAATAAGCTCTCTGTTCCTTTCTCTCTCTCTGGTATACCCATTGTTCTTTTTTGTTTTGTTCTTTTTACATATCTTTATTTATTTCAGAGAGAGGGAGGTAGAGAGAGAGAGAGAGGTAGAAACATCAATGATGAGAGTTATTGATTGGCTGCCTCCTGCACACCCCCTGCTGGGGATCAAGCCCACAACCAGGGCATGTGCCCTGACCAGGAATCGAACCCCGATCACTTGGATCCTAGGCCTACGCTCAACTGCTGAGACACGCCCAGCTGGGCCCCAGTGTTCTTATATTGCCCTCTAATGGAGTCAGATAGTTTTTGTGGAGTTCTTTAATGTTTTTACTCTGAATTCTCTCTTCTTCCCTGAGTCATTTCTGGATTTCTGTCTACAGTGTCACTGCTACTTTCCACCGTCCAGCCTGCTCTCTCTTCTGTGTTTGCTGTTCTTGCCTCATCTCTTCCTGAGCACTGAGGATTTCTGTTTGGTTCTTGTTTAAAGTTTCAGTTTATTTGGTAAAGTACTCCTTTGTTTTTTTAATTTGCTTCTATCTTATTGAGTTTTTCTAGAACTGTGATCTTGAATTCTCTGTCATTTTAATCATTGTCTTCCATATCTTTTAACTTTATTCTCTGGATATCTTTTGTTTTCTTTCTGAACTCCTTTGCTACCTTGGTTATTTATTGTGCTTGATGCATTATTTGGGCATTTGCTGGAATTTAATCTCTCTCCTTTTTTTGGGTGTTTGACTCTTTATTGTTTAGCCAGTGATTTTTTCATCTCATGGCACATAAATAATTATTAAACTTCTGTGGCACACCAAAATATATATTTTTTTGCCAATCTGACCCAAAAAAAGGTATAATTTTGATTGATTTAACAAAAAATAATAATAGTAATTACCTACACTTTTTGCTCCAAAGTGACTTTTTAAAAAATCAGGTGCCTATACTTGCGTATAAGGATTTCTCATACCAAGAATTAACCAATCAGACAGAAGATGACCAATTATGCGACATGACCAATAAGTTACAACTCTATTATATGACCTATATGTTAATGGTTTAAGACAGGGCATTCACACCAGATGGCTGTTGTTGTGTTGGCTGTTACCATTTTTTTTATTTGACAGTCTATGGGAAAAGAGGTCAGTCCCCTGACTAAATGGTCAGGTACTGCATGTTTTAAATTCTTAGAGCTCACCAGTTGAAAATCACTGGCTTAGCATATTGATAAACTGAAGTCTTTCTTTTGTTTACCAGTAGTTGGCACTGAAGCACAAATTTTTGTTTTTTCTTACCTGCACTTCTGGGGCTTCCTTGATTTCTATGGGTTAGTGTCTCCTCATTCATGGAAATTGCCCCTTATCCTCCAAGGAGGTGGGATCCTTTTTATGACCCAGTCTCTTCAGCCTCAGGGCACCACTCCCGTGGTGGTGCATGGCAGGCTGTGGGTCTCCTGTTCCGTTCCTCCCAGCATCACTCCCCTGTATTCAGAAGCTGCGAGCCACACTGCTGTCTCAGGTGTCTCAGCTGCCTCCACCAGGCTCCACTGTGATGGGCGGGCGAGGAGAAGGGGCTTCACAAGTCTGAGGCTCTGTTCTTTCTAGTGAGTTAAGTCGTAATGTGTACAGGCCGTTTAGATTTTGAATGTTGCTTTCGCCTGTTCATGATCTGCCCAGGGAAGGTTTTGATGCTGGGTGGGCCACAGGAGTTGGGGGGAAGGGTTTCTGTGACTGCTGCTTTCCTTTTCTGGTGTTGCAATCCTTTGTACTGCTTCTCTGACCATGACCCTGGGCTCAACCTCAGTTTGTACCACCTGTCCAGGCCCATTGCTGCCTCTGTCCCTCAATTCTGTCCAGTAGTAGTGTCGCCCTGACTCTTCATTGCTGTCATGTCCATTTGTCTGCAGTAAGCCCCAGATTGTATCTGCTGCTCCTACCTGTCCTCCTCCCGTCTTTCCTTTTCCCCTGCTCACTCTGATATGCCTACCTTTAGATGTCTCAATGCATGGATCCCTCAGAGGTATTTGTGTGTTGAACAGGGAGTCCTGTTTTGAATTACGGCTGTCTGATTTCTTATAACTTCATGGGAGGTTCCTCTCTTGCTGCCATGCTCCTGGTGTCACTAACAACTGATGTTTCTTGTGCAGCATCCCACACAGTTTATATGGGATCATTGCATCAATTTTCCTTCTTTTGTGTTTCTTTTTTTACATACTTTTTTTGAGAACTCGTGTTTTATTATTAGAAATCTAAACCCAACAGTAATCATAGCCGACTGTGAGTTTAATTATTTAAAAAGTTATATTTGTGGCCCTGGCTAGGTGGCTCAGTTGGTTAGAGTATCATCCCATACCCCAAAAGGTTGCAGGTTCGAGTCCTGGTCAGGGGAATATACTTAGGTTGCGGGTTTGGTCTCCAGTTGGGGTGGGTGTAGGAGGCAATTGATCCATGTTTCCCTTTCCCTCTCTCTTTTTCTCTCTCTCTCTGCCTCCCTCCCTCCCTCCCCTTCCCCATCTCTAAAACCAATAAACATATCCTTGGGTGAGGATTTAAGAAAGCTATATTTGTGAAATGTAGTTAATCTTTTTCATTTGTGACATAGTAAATTCATTTTTCTTTATCTTTTAGAATTGGGTTGTGAGTAAATTTGGAAGAGTCTTACCTGTTCTTCATCTGAAAAATCAACATAAACGTAAAATATCCTTTGTAATTGGGTTTGCAGAGAAATTGTTATTTAGCACAGTTTTGGTAATTGCAAAAGTTTACTTCCTACCTTTAGAATTTCACTGCCTCTTTCAGGAAGTCTTTAGATGTTTATTTAACAGTTTTATGTTCCCAAGTTCTAGGCTAGGAAAGACCTTACTGCCACATGCAAGGAACAGTTAAGAGAATAATTAGAGAACGTAGTGGGATTTTGTATAAATAAGTGACACAAATGATGACTCAAACAAGCCTTTTCACTTACTAATTTATATGCCCTTCCTATCATTCGACATGGGTTCAAAGCCATTGCTGAAAGATCTAATGTAGGGCAAAGGAACATGGGGCCATTGCTAAAGAAGGCTTTGGAGGAAGTAGAGTGGGTTTCACATTACTAGAAAAGTGAAAGGAAGGAGTCCAGGAAAGAGGAAAATAGTAGATTGGAATATGTAGAAAGCATGAGAATGATGGGTGGAAAAATAGTGTGGGACCCAGAATGAGCAAATTCAGATGCCTGTTCCTTTGAGGAAATGAGGTCAGATTGTTAAGATTGAATTCCTAGTGTCATGAACTTCTGGGCAGAGGGTGCAACTTGTGTATCTTTTGCTCTTATAGTGTGAGTCAGTTAGGGAAGCAGAAGCAGTTCCAAGTGTTTCAAATAGAGGGGATGTAGTACATCCAGTGTGTTTGAAAGGTGCTGAAGGAGCTGGAAGCTGATAGGTTGCTCAGAGATTACTAACTGCAGCAAACTGCTACCACCTTGGGATTAGAGAAGCAGAAAGGTGTGTCCTCATTGCTTATGGCCCCTGTGCTACTGGGGCCACTGGAGCCCTCCCTGCCAGTGGCACTAAGATCAGAGAAATAGTGACTCCTTTCTTCCTCTTTCCCTTCTGGCTTCCTACCAATGGCAGCCACTAACAGCAAAGAGGAGGGTATTGAAGAGAAGTGTGGAGCTGAGAGCCCATGGACACTTTGGAAGACCTCACATATTTGGCATGTATTCAGTAGTTGCTAAATAAACAAAGAAACTTTCCAGGAGTGATAACTTAAAGCAACTTATTATTGCCTGTTTGTTTATTAGGAAATCAACAAATGCCATGTGTCACCATAGCACATTGACATTAACTAGAATCCTTCTTGATAATGTTGGCACCAAAACATGCCCTGGTAAAGAGTTACTAGCTTTCTAATAAAGACCTACAAAATGCCCTGCAGTGTGTGAAGAGATGTAAACTGGAGGTTATTGAGCTAGGAGAGTTAGAGCTAGGATAGGCCAGTACTGAGAAAGCAGGAATGCCGAAAGAAAGACCCAAGGACATGGTGTAGCTGTGCCCCTTTGGGTATCCCTCTATGTTCTGCTTTACAGCATCAGCTCAGTGGGTGGATTTCTCAGGTTTACAGAACAGTCTTTGGGCCTCTGTGTCTAGAATATAATCTGAATTAGTTTGCTTTAATGTCTCCATACAAGTAGATATTCTGCCAATTAATAGTGATGGTGCTTCATTATAAGTCTGAATAGAATGCTCAATACCAGAGAACCTGAGGTTGCCTAGTGAAGTCCTCATTTTGTTGGATAGGAAACTGAGGGTTAGATTAAACAGTATTGTGTGGTGAAGGCCTGGGGTGAGACAGGAGCAGGGCAGAGGAGTTAAGGGGAGGATGGGGGAACATCCTTAATACCCTAAACAATAAAAATAAATTTTTTAAAAAAGGTTAAACAGTACTCTTTTTGCTTCAGTAGATTGACAAGTTTTCCTAAAACCTAGTGCCTTTGTTTTGTTCCTTGACTTTTGGAAACATAAAATATGATCCATCAAAATACTGCCACAACTTAAAAAAAATAGGGGAGGATTTCACAAATGCTATTCCTATATCCAATCTCACTTGGGAATTGGAAGGAAGGAATGATCTTATAACTAAGAAACGGCGAGGAAAGCTTTCTGACCTTTTCAGCCCTCCCAAGAAGATGATAAAAGTGCAGAGGGACGAGAGTTGCCCTGTGTCTCTGGCTATAAGATCAAGACCTAGTAGGGTAATAATGGAAAACCCACACTTAACACAGCAACAGACTGCACAAGAAATACCTAATGATCCCATTACTCTTAAATCACCCCATGTACCTGATTCGGATAGTCAGAAACTTAAAAGTATGTTTTTTCACACTTCTGATTTGCAAAATACTGGGAACAAAAATAGCACGTCTGATGATATCAATTCTAAAGATGAATTAAGACTAATGATCACAAGAGAGGGAAACTTAGAGAGAACTACATGGTCCTCAGTAAGTGAACCTGAATATGATCCCTCTGAAGTTGTAAGGGATGACTTCAAATCAGATGGCCACAAACTTTATTCTTCAACAGGTTTAGGCATCAAAAATAATGTCTCTTGTCTTGATAGTGAAGGTAATGTGGGAAGTGATTGCAGCTGTGATTCAGGAGATAGAGAGGATACCGCGATGAATAAAAACACTGGTGAGGTCAAAAAGAAGACAGAACTTTCACAAATGGAGAAGTCCATATACAGGAAAACTTTTTTGAAAAATAAAAAAACCTCTGAGCATTCTGATCATTGTATTAAAGTACAAAAGAGAAAAAACAATGTGGAGCTAGCCATCAGTCATAGAGTTAAGCATCTTAGTTGTAAGTCCCTGTCCAGCTCCAGCAGCAGTGAAGATGCTGATCCTGTGTCAGAGTCAGCGAAGCCTGAGGAAGATGAGTCTAAGGCCATGATGAAAAACTGTCTCCACATGACTCTTACTTTAGCTGACTTGGGACATTTGGCTGGCAGTGACCTGAAGGTTCCAAAAGAAGGTACTGAGAGTGATGGCTGGGAAACCACCTCCAGGTGTGACAGAGCCTCCAAGAGCCACAGGACTTCTGGTGTCCTCCACAGAGGTCGACAGTGTATTTATCCTGAAGAGATTGTGGCTTCCCTTTTAGAAGGAGAACAAAACACCCCTGGAAAACAGAAACCAAAGGAAAACAACTTGAAGTTAAAAATCCAGGCATTCAAGGGAGTAGGCTGTCTCTATGGAAAGGAATCAGTGAAAAAATCCTTGAAAGAGAATGCTGCTTCTAGCAATATTAACAAAAATCAGAATTCCTTGAAACTTGAGGATCCCACTAGCATGTCCATGGAAAAGGGCTTCCCACATGGAAATGGCTCATCAAGCAAACTGACTCCTTTCCAGTGTGCAAAGAAAGCAGATGACCCAAACCATACTCAGCCTCAGAAGAAGCACTTTACTTTTGAGACCCAGAATCACAAAGTGGGGTCCCCTAGAAGTTCAGAAAAGGGAAATAGAAATCCCATTTCTAGTCTGTTGACAATAAAAGATAAGAAATCTGTAAGTCCTGGTGCAGAGGCCCCTGTGAGAGGTTCTGGTGAAGACTGTTGCCACAGGAGCACAAAGACAGGAGAGGACTCTGAAGAGAGGCCTGATCTACCCAGCCACGTGGCACCAGAGGTCTCCTCCAGGAGGAACCCTCAAGGGAGCAAAACTGACTTCCCACTTTCTCTTAATAGTTCCTCAGATGGTAATGCTAAGGATAAGCATGCTGAAGATAATCAGAAGCGTTTGTCAGCCTTAGAGGCAAGGCAGAAAGCAAAAGACACACAAAAGAAGCTGGTTCACAATGCCCTGGCTAATTTGGTGCGTATATTTTCAGTCTGGTTTAACAAGAACTCTAAAGTTGCACCCTTTTCTTCCCATGAAGGCAGGGTGCCTCTTTGAGTCAGTATCTCAGCACCCACCAGTTTCATTGTTTTTGTCCTTGAGTTAGAAGCTTTTATCGCCATGTATATTTAAACTATTTATGAAAACCATTTTTAATTTGTTTTTATCTAGTTCTTTTCATAGTTTCCTTTCCTTTAGAAACTAGAACTGGTATAGTTAAGTAATGTCTCCTTATATATCCAAATTTACATATAAATCACCTCCCAAGTGATTTATATCTTGCCAAGTTTTACTATAATGAGCCTTTATACATTCCTTCAACAGTTGTTAAGTACCTATGAAGTTCTGGGCCATCATTGTAAGTACTAGATTTATGGAATGAGGTTGAGAATCACAGTCCCTGCCTCAGGTGGTTGTTGGCTTACAGTGTGATGTGCAGAAGGTAGCATTTGAGTTCCATGGGTTGAGAGAGAAGTATGCCCATGTGCCCTGGCAGCACCTGGGAGGCACCAAGTTGGTCAGAAGGAAGGGGGTAGGGGGTTTTTCAGCCTGAACTGAGCCTAATGAGAAGATTAGTATAAAGTGGTTGGGCAGAGGTAGAAGGGTGGGAAGGGAGAAAAGACATTTCATGAAGAGGGAGCAATTTATACAAAAGAAAATGTGTGTGACTGAAATGCATAAAGTATGACGTGGCAAGAAATAAGACTAGAGAGAGAAGTAGGGGTTACAAAGAGGCTATGGAGGTTGGACTTTATTAAGGCTGTGGAAAGAGTGAAGAACTTTAAGCAAAGGAATGAAGATTAGCTGTGTATATATTGGAACAGGAGTTGACACACTACAGCTCACAGGCCATGCAGCGCACAGCCTCTGTTGGTAGAGCCTCCAAGCTAAGAATGGTTTTTACATTTTTAAAGCATTTAAAAGAAAAAAAGGACTGAAAGCACAAAGCCTAAAATAGTTACTCTCTAGCCCTTTACAGAAAAAGTTTGCCAAATTCAGTCTGGGAAATATTGTTCAGGCTGTGATGAACAGCAGATTGAATGAGGCAGATCTGGAACCAGGGACAGGCTCTGGGAGGTGCTAGGCCAGAATCAAGGCAGCAACAGTGGGGATAGATGTAAAAGATACCAAAAAGGTCCAATTGATGGTACTTGGTGATCAGCTGGATATGCAGAGAAAGGGATGTCGTAAGTTTCCGTCTTGGGAAAATAACTTGATGAAGGCTTCACTAGATAAGAAAAAGGGTGGGAAATAGACTTGGCAGAACATGGAGATGAGGGGTTATCTTAAGATACAACGCCTTTGATGACCACTCTAGGATGGCCCTCCAGAGGACAAGCCAACGCACATCATCTTTGGTTCTGACAGTGAAAGTGAGACAGAAGAGATGTCCACTCGGGAGCAAAGTCGTCTGGTAGAGAAACCAGTAAAAGTAAGATTCAGGGTGTGTGTGGGCACTCCTCTATTTCTGCAGACCTATTTGCATACCAAGACCTGCACGCAACTGCCAGGCTCAACATAAACTCCTCCAGCAGCCAGTGAAAGCCAGCTCCCCAGGCCACCACACACAGACAACAGGGACCTTGGAGATTCTCTCCCACAGGAGCCTCACCTCCACATTATCTGCACAGCCGCATCAGTATAAGTGAGCTCCCGTAGAGCTGTTCTCACATGTATAGCACCTGTCCTTTCCCCCGGGTGGCCTCATTCTGGCTGCATTGGGAGCCTCTGCTTGGTCTGTAATGCTAAGTAGATATCACTGAGTCAGAGTTTCCATTCTAACCACCACCCACCCTTCCCTGGGAGATGCATCTGGTTTGTTGGTTCTCAAATGTGAGGGGAGATAATGTAATGAAGAAAACACTGGTGGCCTCTGTTGTTAATGCACGTTTCTGTCTCCATCTGTGTAACAGGAGCTCTCGGGTAGAGCATCTGGGAAGCTGTTTGACAGCAGCAGTGATGAGGAATCTGATCCTGAAGATGACAGTAATAGGTTCAGAATTAAACCTCAGTTTGAGGGTAGAGCTGGAAAGAAGGTTAGTCACGGCTGAAAGGATAAATCTTACCTGTCCTTCCTTACTCTTCAACATAGTCCTCATGTCTCGGCAAAGGCAAGAGGACTTCGCCCCCACCCCAGGGCCTTTTTTGGGAGTAAGTCCTCCGCAGTCGTTCTGACTGGCTCGTGGGTAGGGGAGCTTATGCAAACATTAATGGGAATTTCAGGGTGTGGGAGGGCACTTGGAGGGTCTTCTTTTGAAGTGATTTCTTGGGAATATGGCTATCGATTATATGTCTGTTTTGTCTTTGTAGCTCATGGATTTGCAGTCTCACTTTGGCACTGATGACAGATTTCGCATGGACTCCCGGTTTCTAGAAAGCGACAGTGAGGAGGAACAGGAAGGTAAATGCCTCATTGTCCAAACAGTCCTAATGTCAGAGTTGGGACACCCTAGGAAGTCATCTAGTCTAGTTCTTGCTTAACACATGGAGAAACTCTACATCCTAAGACATTGAATTACAAAGCTTATAATCCAATGCTTAGCTTACTCAGTACTTCTTGAGTTCATTTGTACATACTAATTTATTTAGAAAATTTAAATTACTTGAAGCTGCCAGAAAAGAGGAATAGAAAGCATCCACGAGAGGCACCATCTTCCTCTGCTCTGACTCTGGCATGAGGGAAAGATGAGGTCCCTGTCTGGCAGTAGAATTGGAGGTCCAGGTGAGGCCATGGGAGTTAAGTCACACTTGACTTTCTGAAAGAGAATATTCATCTTCCCTGTTGTGTGTGCCGGGTGCAGGTTTTTAAAAACTAACAGACTATTGAATGCCATTCTACTTGAATTCATCCTTAGTTGGGCATATCTAGCAGTAATGATGCTATCAGAAGCATCCAAATTCTACTTGTTTTTACTTCTTTTAGCATTTTTCATAGCAGTGGTCCTAAACTTTCTCTAGAAGACCTGCTCTCGTCCTTGAGTGAGCTCTGCTTCCTCTGCAGGCTCAGAGCTTCGTTCCTTACACCTCCTCTTTTCCTTTCCTCCTTGAGTTAATCTTAATACTGCATCTTAATCCCCCATTCATGCATCCCGCTACCCCCTTTCTCAGACTTCATCCTTCCCTTTCTTGTAGCTCCTTTCCTCTTTCTTCAGAGAAAGGTTTCATAGGTCCAAGAAGCCATTCCTTCAACCCTGCCAATTTTCGAGTTACCACTCCCATCTCTTTTTAGTTCGAAACCTGAAAAAAATAAATTACATGTGATGCAGAACCAGTTGACTATTTATTGAAAATGCAGCCTGATTTGAGCATCTCAGTTCTTTGAGGTGATTGTTATGTGTGCTGTGCATTTGCAGGAACCAGAGTTCAAAGATTAAACACTCCAGGTTCCATACCACTTACGTTTCAGAGCTTCTCACTCAGAATCCTGTGTTGAACATAGGAATGGACAGAACCTTGGAAATAGCCTGCATTTAAAAGCTGCATATAAAGGTTACTTTCTTAGCTTCTGCCACTTTGGTCTGTCTCCTTACAGCTCTTCTGTTATGTGTTCCCTCAAAAGCTGTGAATTATCAATTCACCAAATGTAATGGCATGTTCTCCAGCCTTGCCCTCTTCCGCCTGCCTGTAGCATTTGTCACTGTTGACAATCCCTTCTTCAAGTGTGCTCCCCCCTTTGCTTTCTGTTATATTGTAAATTCCTGGTTTTCTTCTTTCCTTGCTTTCTGATTTTCCCTTTGCCTCCAGATGTAGGCTTTTCCCAAGATTCTGTTGCTTTAGCCTTCTCATATGGGTAATTTCCAGATGTGGATCATCTTTGATCTGGACTGTTGTGCTGAGTCCCGTTCATTCTTTTCTTGGTGCCTGATGGATATTTCTCCCAGGTATTCCTGGGCTGTGTTAAAATTCAAGTCCCAACTTCAGTCTTTCTCTCAGCTCCTACAGACCCTTCTGTTTCTGTTGATGGCACTTCCATTCTTAAGGCACTCAGACACAGAACCTCTGTCCTTATTTCTCTGTTTTATTTCTTCCCTACTTTTGAGGTTTAATTTTTTGGGAATTGCAAAGACTGTCTTGCAAGGAAGCAGCACGATGAGCCTTCAGACCCTGGAGCCCTTCTGTGTTCTGCTGTTTAGCAGTCATTATTCGGTCAAAATGGAAATTGCCATTTTTGAAATCAAAAGTTGTGGAATATTAGTAATTTCATATGGTTCAATCTAATGCAGCATAAAACTTTTTTGTACTTTTTAAAATATATGTGTTCACTTTGTTTCCTGTACCTGCCATGCTCTCCTACCATCACTTTGTCTTTCCTTCTTACACTTCACCTGGTTTATAAAGCATTTCTTGGTTCATTTGAACCCTTAGAAACTTTTGAGACATCTCTGTAGAGAACTTTTTCAAATCAGTTTTTTGTTTTAGTTTCTGTTTCTTGGTTTATTATCCTGTGAAAAGTTGAAAGAGTCTTTAAGCTTAGACTTCTGTTGTGTTTCTATTTGTTATCCAAAGTAGCTGTTTAACTTTCTTCCCTAACATCTGTCTTTTTCTAGTAGTTGAGGATCACACCTTAGATCATTCCATGATGTCCTGTGCGTACAGGCCTGTGGCTCTCTTCCTGCAGTATTGCTTCCTGCGTCAAAGGCTGAAGCAGCCGTCTACTCACATATATTAGTCCATAAAATTGCCATCTTTCACTTCTAGATTTATATGTGATTTAGATTACGTTTTTAGAATGTTTTTTGGTTTTGTTTTTGGTTTTGTTTTGTTTTTAAATATATCTTTATTGATGTCAGAGAGAAGAAAGGAGAGGGAGAGATAGAAACATCAATGATGAGAGAGTCATTGATTGAGCCCACAACCTGGGCATGTGCCCTGACCGGGAATCGAACCCTGATCGCCTGGATCCTAGGTCAACGCTCAACCGCTGAGCCATGCCCGGCCGGGCACGTTTTTAGAATGTTAATAAACTCAGTCTGGAATAATTTTAGCTTTGTAATTAGTACCTTTCTCTATACATTTGTCAGTCTTTACCTTAAAAACTGTTAACACGTGCCAACAAACGCCATTAGATCCAGATTCAGTTTTTATAAACACAAATAAAAGTGAGACTTTGTTTGCTGGCCATGCAACTTCTGGATACACTTTGGTGTTGAGGCCCCTGGGGATGGGAGGTTAGCAAAACGAGGTTTCATGTTTCTTCTTCCTGCCCTGATGTGTTTAGGTGAGTGATAAGTATTCGGTGACTGAGACCCCAGTTAGGAGATTCTAATTATCCTTTTTCCCCAAAGAGGCAAGTGGAAAGAAAACCACTGAAAAAGAAGAGCTTGCTGCAGAAAAGTTGAAAGCCCTGGATATTGTTCAGAGTATTTTACATACCAACTTAAGCAATTCTACAAGCAAAGGATCAGTAGCTGCTAAGAAATTTAAGTATGGTCTATGTCCTATCCCATTCCACCTTTTTCTTTGCCATAAATGCCTTCTTGAACTCAGTTGAAAACTAGGCCATTTTAAACTTGCTGAGGCGGACAATGGTGTATGTATCAGCCCCTTAAAAATATACCTACCTTTGCCCCAATGATTCAATTTCAAGGAACTAATCTAAAATTATGTCTATATTTATGCTGTTAGATATCATAGCATTGCTTCCATTTGTGAAACAATTGGACAGCGGTTTAATTGTTAATAAATATAACTCTCTATTATGGAAAATTTTAAATACGTAATTTAGAGAAATGAGTGTAATGAAACCCCTGTACACCAGCTTTGTGTTAACCAACATGTGACCAGTTTCTTTTCTGTACCTTTACTCACTTCCCCTGCTTTCCCCACTGAAATATTTTATGCAGATCCCAATAGTGTATCAGTTTATCTCTATATATTTTAGTATGTTTTTAATATTAACAAAAATATCCAGGAAACCTCAAAACTAGATAATTTAAAATATTTTTAATGAGACTTTTCTTTGCTATTGTGTAGCAAAAATTGGAATGACTCAAAAATTGGAATGACTCTGGTGCTGAATTATAATTTGCTATTAACTTTTTGCATTACTGTTCCGATTTATCTCTTCCAATGTATTATTCCTCTTTTTACATAGGGACATCATACACTATGATCCAACAAGGCATGAACATGCTACTTACGAAAAAAAGAGAGATGATAAACCAAAAGAAAGGTAAGTCAAGCTCCTTCTTTTAGTAGTAGGATCATATGAATTAATTTCACTTCAGACAGTGAGAAAAGTAGATTGTAACCAATATCCCAGATATCCATTGGTCTCCATTGTGTTCAGTGTGAGAAGAGGGGGGAGAAGAGCAGAGCCTTGGATTGGTGTAGGGAGCCCCACCTCCAGCTGGAGCCCATGCTGGTAAAGGATAGTGCATTCTGCTGCTCTAGTATGGTACCTCCTACTGACATTTGCTTCTGGTAGCGGCTATAACAGGTTACCACAAACTTGGGAGCTTAAACCACAAAAATTAGTTTCTCATCGTTCTGAAGGCTAGGAGTCTAAAGTCAAGGTCATTGGAAGGGCTGCTTTCCTTCTGGAGATTCAGGTAAAAATGCCTTTCACATCTCTCTCAGCTTCAGGTGACTGCCAGCAGTCCATGGTATTCCTTGGCTTGTGGCTACAGGACTTCACCCTTTGCTTCCATCTTTGTGTGGCTTCCTCCTCTTTTCTGCATGTATGTCATCTTTATCTCTTATTATAAGGATGGTTCTGATTGCATGTAAAGCCTACCTAGATAATCCTGGGTAATCTCTTTGTTACAAGGCCCTTAACTACTCTACAAAGACGCTTTTTCCAACTAAGGTAATATTCACAGGTTCTAGGAATTAGGGCTTGGACATACCTTTTGGGGGCAACCATTCAATCCACTCCTCTAGTAGGAGCTTCTGTTTCCTATAAATATGCTGTCAGTTTGGTAAATATGGCAAATATATTAAACAGTAACTTTACCTGGCTTAATTCCTTCACTTTTCTACTGTTACAATCACTAAAGGCATGCGTTATCCTGAATTAGACCCTGGAGCAAAAAAGACATTTGTAGGGAAACTAGTGAAATGAAAATAAAGTTTGAATTTCGTTAATAATAATACAACGATCTTAATCTTTTAGTTTTGGTAATTGTATAGTTATATAAGATGCTACCATGAGAGGAAACTAGGTGAGTGTTATTTTTAAAGGTTTCTTTTAAAAGAATCACATAGCTCAAAGTAGAACCAACATAAATATTCCCTACAATATAAAAATTTTGTATGTTATTTAAAGTAATCCACATTGGTACATAAGTGGGGGATATTTTGTATAATACATTTTTATTTACATCTAGGGTGTATTTGTTATCGGTGCATAACAAACTGTCTAAAACTTAGCGCCTTACAACCAGAAACATTTATTATCTCAAAGTTTCTGTGAGTCCAGAATTTAGGAGCAGCTTCGTTAGATGGTTCTGGCCAGGGTTTCTCAAGAGGTTGCAGTCACGCCCTGGCCAGTGTGGCTCAGTTGGTTTAGCATCGTCCTCTGCACCAAAAGGTTGCCAGTCAGTTGCCCCTTCGACTCCTGGTGGGGTACATGCCCGGGTTGCGGACCTGATCCCTGGTCAAGGTGCCTGCAGGAGGCAGCTGATTGATGTTTCTCTCTCACATTGATGTTTCTCTCTCTCTTACTCCTTTCCTCTCTCTCTAGAAATCAGTAAAATAATATTTTTAAAAAGAAGTTGCAGTCAAAATATTGCCTGATTCTTTGGTCTTTGAAGGTCTGACTGAGCCTGTATGGTCTGCTTCCAAGAAGGCTCATTCACATGGCTGTTGGCCAATTCCTTACATTGTTGGCTTCTCTGTTAGACAGCTTAAGTGCCCTCGTAACATGACAGCTGGCTTCCCCCAGAGCAAGTAAACGAAAACAGAGCCAAGGAAGAAGCCATAGTGTATTTTATGACCTAGTTTTAGAAGTCACACACTGACACATCAGCTTATTTAATTTTCTTGAACCAAGTCACTAAGTCAATTTGTGAACATATTTAAAACCATGACAGTCCACCCTCTGGCAAAAAATTGTTTATATTCCTACCACATGCAGAATTTTTTCACCCCCTCCCTAGATTTCCCAGCAGTCTCAGCTTTTTATATTATTAGTTCAAAATCCAGGGTGTTGTCACCCAAATCAGGTCTGAATGCAGGTGATGCTTATCTGTTGTTCTTTGAGTACAGTCTTTTTGATTAGAAGGCCTGTGAACATGTGGTAGGACAAGCGTAGACTAACCAGTCTAATGTAAGCATTACTACTCAACAGAGAAAACAGGAGGCAGGAAGGGTCCCTGGTCCATAGGAGCCCTGAAATCTAGACAGCCCAGTGTTGTGAGATCTTTTATTAGAATAATTCTCCATAGCTCTTGACTCTGCCTTTCAGGTCATTCTTCTTTAAAAATACATGTAGCCCAGCTGGGTGTGACTCAGCGGTTGAGCATCCACCTAGGATCCAGATCAAGGTTCGATTCCTAGTCAGAGCACATGCCCAGGTTGTGGGCTCTGATCCCCAGTTGGGGATGTGCAAGTGGCAGCCGATCAATGACTACTCTCTCATCATTGATGTTTCAACTCTCTCTCCCTTCCTCTCTCTGAAATCAATAATGATATATTTAAAAATAAACAAATAAACAAACATGTATATATTCACTTTAGAGAGAGAGAGAGACATCAATTTGTTGTTCCACTTATTTCTGGTTGATTATTGGTTGATTCTTGTATGTTCCCTGACTGGAGATTGAGCCTGCACCCTTGGCATACTGCGATGACACTCACCACTGAACTACCAGGCCAGGGCTGAGCCATCCTTTTTTCATGAATGGTGGCATGTGTTTGCAGCTGAGTAATCATCTCAGCCTGCATTGTGTGTGTAGAAACATGGGAGTCTGAGAGCCTCTCTTTGTGGACTGTCTTTGTACATACCAGTTCAAGCTAGGGGCGTTTTTGTTAATATAATTTTCTTAAAATACTTGTGAGTCTCCTGTGAATATTCTTGGGGTTCATTCCATTAGACAAAAGCCACACCAGAAGTCACTTTGAGATCTGTTGAAAGACATCAACTTCAAACTCCTTATAAGCCTTATTGTTTGAACAATTGAAGTTTCTGAGCTATGTGTAGTGTTTTAACAAAGTAATTTGTTTTATGTGTAGGATGGAGTATACAGACTTTTCTGCTAAGGTTCATGGTCTGCTGCAGTGACTCCACTCTGCCTTTGTAGCAAATGAAGGACAGTTTCAATAAAACTATGAGTAGGACATAGTCTGTGTTACATATAATCTGTGAATACCACGAAATCATCTTTTACTATTTTTTCCAGCCATTTTAAACTATAAAAAATATTCTTAACTTGTGGTGCATACATAAATAGGCAGCAACCTGGATTTGGCCTGTGTACCATAGTTTGCCAACACCTGCTTTAGACCATGTTTTCCTGAGAGACTTAGATTTGACCTTTGCTTTGAAGCCATTTATTAAATTTTGTGTCATTTGTCTTCTGGAAATTATGAGTCTTCAAAACCATGAGATCCTGGCTCCTTATAAATTTTTTTCCCTCTGGTTTTACTGTCTCTGCTCACATTTTATGGTAAGCAACAAACAGAAACCAGCAAATGCCTTTATCACCTTCCTGGACATCTCCTTAGCTAGATCACCTATTCATTGGGTTACATTTTCTACTTCCTACATTAATAAAGGTAACAATGTTGCTAAGTTTTTTGTCACTACATAGCACTGGTCCCCTTTCCTCCGGTTTCTAATAGCATTCACCTCACTTTTCTGCACATCCTTGTTACAGCCTCTTCTGTGGCCATGTAGTTTCTACTGACAGTCTTTTTAAGGCTTTTGCTAACACCCTCACTGACCTACCATTTTCTGCCCTTTGCTTGGGCTCTGAAGTCACTCCTACATTTTAGGTGTATGTTAGAGCAGCACCCCACTTCTAGGTCCCCAAATCTGTATGTTATATATTTCTGTATAAAAAATTGCCCCAAACTTCAACAGCTTGAAATCTCAAACATTTATTAGGTTCCAATTTTTCTGGGTCAGGAATTTGGGAGTGCTTCACTAGGTAGTTCTTGCTCAGGGATTCTGAAGAGCTTGCAGTCAAGATGTCAGCTAGGGCTATAGTATCTGAAGGTTTGAGATCTGCTCACAGGATGGGTCAGGCACATGGCCATTTGCAGGAAGCCTCAGTTCCTTGCCTTGTTGGCCTCTCTACCTGACTATCTGAGTTCCCTCACAACATGGCAGCTGCTTCCCCCAAATCCAGTGATCCAGAAAAGGGAAAAGAGGGAGAAAATCAAAGTGCGTTCTATGACCCTAGTGTCAGTAGTCCCACCATCATGTCTGCCTTATTCTGTTAGGTAAAGAGGTCGAGTCCAGCCACACTCAAGGAATGGGAAGTGCATCCCATCCTTTAGAGAAAGAACTATCAAAGGATCTCGGGAACACTTTAAAGCCACTGCATCATACCTCAATGGTAATCACTTGGAACTGTTAAAGGATGCCATTTTCTATGAGTTTGCTTTCATAGGAGGCATAACTGCCTTAAATCGTAGCTAGGTTGGAAGTATTAAAAATTCCTCACTGTGAGATAGTCTCCACCAATAATAGGGTCATTTAGGACATCTTGTTCACTTACTATTTTAGTAATACAGTTAGAACTTTGGCCTGATATTACTCCTGATATATGAAATTACTCTTGATAAATGAAATTAACCTCTTATTAGCCAAAAACTTGATAATGGAAACTGCCATGTAACTTTTTATCTAAGATCGAAGAGAAAAGCGTATTCCTAAATATAAAGGAGGTTTATGGTAATATACAAATTTCATCCCAAAACAAACTAGACTTAGCATATTTATAATTAATTTCTAAAACAGAATTATAACTAAATTCTTTTATGCCAGTTTTGTAGAATTAACAGAATTTTAGTAGTGGGAAAAGTCTTAGAAGTCACCTGGTTTAGCATGTTCATTTTGCAGATGAGGAAACTGAGGCGCATTGTGGTTAAGTGAGTTTTCTTACTCAAAGCTAATATCTTAGGTGTGATTCCTGAATTGTAGTTCAGAGGATGAGAGAGAGAGTGTGAATCATTTTTAATATTTGGAGCTGTTAGTGATAGTTTCGTGTATAAAAAAGCTTATTGGTCAAGATTCTGCTTTTATGAGTAGAGTTATATATATGTGGTTCCTACTGGTTTTTGAAAGGATGGAATTAAAGTTGTGCATGTTATTTTACTTTCTTGATTTCTGGAAATTGTCCAAAAATTGACTGTTCCTTTGTGGTGCACACATCTGTGTCAATGCAGTAAAGCAAAGAGAAAGAAGAAAAGAGAGGAAGCTGAGCAGCTACCTGTGGTGTCTAAAGAAATGTATTATAACATTGCTGTGGATTTAAAAGAAATATTCCAAACTGCAAACGACACCAATGAAAAGAAGGACGTGCCCTACAGCATGAACTGTGATGAAGGGAGAGCCCAGGAAGCCCATGACCCTGTGGCTCCGAGGACGGGGGCCCCGCAGCCTGGCGGGTTCATCTTTTCCTTTTTTGATTCACACACTGAAGATGGAAAGGAAGGTAACGTGTGTGGTTTTGTTTTGTTTGTTTGTTTTTACTATTTCATTCTAGGCAGTTTAAACTTCACTGAGTCTACGCTAAGTGTGATGATTTAACAGTAGCTGAAGAAAGGATTCTTTCTTGCACCTAGATAACCAATATGAGGTTTAATGTCACAGCACCATAAATGCAGTGTTCCTGGAGCTTTGTTGAACACAGCAGAATATGGTTTCTGCTTTAGGGGGCTCACATCTAGCATGTGACGGAAGCTAGGGAACAATGTGCAGCATACCCTCTGCTGAAGTATAGGAAGTCATCATTTACGTAGTTCCGTACCTTAATGCATTTGGAGAAGCCATGACTTCGGAAAGCTAGTACTGTATGGCATGGAAAGGCAGAGATAGGTAACCTTGGCTTTATGCAAATAGGCTCTTTCGTCCGAATGCCAGTTTCAAACTTTATCCTTGAAGATTTGCCAGAACCTAGGGAAAAATACCGATACTAGTATTTGCATTCCATTTCGGGAGGTTTACCTCTGAAGGCCAACATGATACAAAAGTTTAAAAACACCTGTTTCTTAGGGGCTGCTTTTGACCTAGTGTTCACAATGGAAGGGCAGCTTTTCTGGAACTTCACTGTGAAAAATAAGATACAGGAGAATACATGCACACCTAACTACAGTGGATTCTACTTTAAGATCAGCAGTTAAAATAGCATCCATGTGTTTAGCTGTTAAGTATTAAATGCCAGCTCTCTGTTACTCCAACAGGACATATAATAATCAAGTCGGTTTTCAAATGTTCTAAATAAGACACAAAATCCCTGCGTATCTCGTTCTAATTTTGAGAGCCAAGTGTGAGAAATTGGTTTTGAAATGAGTACTAAGACACCTCAGCAACCTGGGAGATGTGCTTTAAGTACCTGGGAAGTTTTGGTGTCATGAGGCGACTGTCCACATCTTATAACAGGAACTTTTATGGCAGTTCTAGAAAGAGGTTTTGGAAATTGAAAGTGTAAACATGTATATTTTCTCATTTATGAATAAGCAGGAAGGAAAACTGGTTTCACTGCATTGGGTTCTATTTAAGGCTTCTCATGCTAGCACAGGTGCCACAATTATTTTGTTTTTAAAAACTATGTTGCCTATTTATAAATTTTGTTTTTATATCTTTTTATAATATTACTGTATTCCCCTTATCAATTAACTCTAGCAATGCCAAAAAAAGAAAATGTGATAGTGGCTTCTCTCAGTATTTTAAAAATCTTAAAAAATACTACCTATTTTAAATTAATGATTAAGATATTATAAATGTCTTAATTTACACTATGCTAACATGGTGAAAGTAATCAAATGAGTATGTTCAGAAATGCTTGGTTATTCATTAACAGTCCTGTCATCTTTTATTGTCATGACAATATAGAGACCTATAGAGTTGAGACAGTGAAACGTGGTAAGGCTGCCTGGCAGGGAACCCCTCGTTTCCAAGATAGCAGTTCAGAAGAGGAAGATGTTAATGAAGAAACAGATGACAGAAAGCCCAGCCCTGGGTAAGCAAATTGTTTCTGTACAGGCATAATTCGTAGTTCGTAAAACCTGAGTTAGACATGCTTTAGAAATATTCTGGAAGAATCTACGCTTATCTTTTCAAGACAACCTAATTTTCTTCTCTCAGCTTATTTAGAGAGCTCAGTAGCCTTTTTGGAATGGGGAGCATATTTCCTTTTCTTGAGATTTGGATAGCACTGCCTGTGAGGGATATGATGTGCACAGGGAAGGGAGCCTGACCTGAAGTCCCTGGTCTGGAAAGAGGATGCTGCAACTGGCTGGCTGCCACCCCGTGGGAAACATTGGAAAACAGGATGGCAGTGGTAGGGTGAAAGTATCAGCATCCAGCATGGAGAAGGTAGACAGGTCTTCATTACCAAAGCCTCCGAGAGAGGAGGAGAATGTTGAATAGAAAGAGCATGGGGGGCACTTTAACTCAGCACAATAAGCAAAACACAAAGCAGACATATTTAAGGAATAGTCCGCTTATGTTTTCAATGTAAATATTTCTTCTTAAATATAGAATTTAACCAACCAATATCCATCTTTACTCCCCCCTCCCAGAGAAGTATCATTACCTGAGAAAGAGACCACCAGATTTTTCTTTTTCTCTAAGAATGATGAAAGACTTCTTGGTAAGTCCATTTTTTTATTAAATGGCATAAAACTGGTAATAGTACAGCTCTTGCCACTGCACATTCTGATACAATAACATGCATCCAAGTAAGAACTATTTTTGAAAAATCCTGACCCTTTGCAGTGTCGTGTGGGTTAGCCTCTCTATTAAAATGATGCATATTGACTTTAGAGCCCGGAGGACCAAGGGCTCCCATTCACCACCTCCCTCACCCATTTATTATCATCAACAAGAGCTTGTTTTGTTTCATGAACTTGCATAGATGCTAGACAAAACACTCCTACATTTTTAGTACCCTAAAAGTTCATGTGAAAACCCTGAGGCTGTTGATGACTCCTCATTTCTTAGAGCCTAGCACAAACATAAACCATAATAGTATATGTTATATAAACAATAAAATCCCTAGCAATTCAAAATATTTTTGAAAAATAGCATAAATCCTTCCAGCTGCAGTGGGGAAGTCTGTGCCCAGGGATTCCGGGCACCTCTGGGACTGTAGTCACTGCCCTGATGGGAGCCCTGGATTACACCTATTCATTCTGGTAAAGATGGCGGCATAGGTAAATGTAGTACTCACATCCTCTTACAACCACATAAAAAAAAATATATATGACTGAACTCCAGAACAGCCATCATTCATAATCACCTGAAATTTAGCTGAATGGAAGTCCTACAGCTAAGGATATAAAGAAGCCACATTGGGACTGGTGGGAGGGGTGGACATGTGGAATGGGCTGGTCCCACACCCACTTGTGGTGGATAAAAGTCGAGAGGACTATCTCAGCTGCAGAGGTCCCCATGATGAACAAGAGGTCAGAGCCCCACAGAAGTCACCTCAGCCCAGGGTTCCAGTGCCAAGAAGAGAAGTCCATGTAACTTTGGGATCTAAAAACCAGTGGCGATTGAGGCTAAGGTAGAGGGAGGCTGCTGGAGTCCCAGGTAGTGCCCACTCACACAGACTTATTCAGACTCACTCCCTCTGAGTTCTTCATTTGGGGCAGCAGCTTGAAAGGCACCACCAGGACACACAGGGAGGAACTGATCTGTCTGGCATCAGGGCAAGAGCTGGAGAGGCAGCTTTCTCCCAGACAGAAGTGCTGGCAGAGACCATTGTTTCTTTGATGAGCCCTCCCCTTCACAGAGCCTACAGGCAGTCTCTATCAACCTGGCTTACACTGTTCACTCAGCCCTGGTGATTCCCTGAGGACCCACTCCACCCAACTTTTGGACCCACCCAAGCTATTTCCAGTGGCTTTTCAGTACCAATGGGGTGTCTTGGCTCATGCTTCTGACTTTCCTAAACTCTCAAATAAGCAGCATTTGGCCCAGCATGCCATGGACCTCTTACTTAGTGGCTCCAGGCCTGGGACTAGCAGCCCCCGGGGTTGGTTCACAGCTTGGCCTCTCCTGGGCACCTCCAAGCCCAGCACAAGTAGCAGCCATTTGCAGATCGCTTTGTAGCTCATGCCAGATGGCCCTGGGCAGAACACAGGCAGTAGTTAACCTTAGCCTGGACCTCCAGGGAGGTACCAGAGCCAGCATTCCCAGTGAGCAGCTTCAAACCTCGTTGAAGCACCAGCCAACCACCTTCCACAAGGAACACACTCAAGGGGTGAATGCAGTGGGCACCAAAGCCCTGCTGAAGTTAAGCCCTGCTCCATGGGATGCGCCCTGAGCATTTTATCCTCCACAGTGGTTACTCACGGTCCTCAGACCTGATCGGCCTGATAGTAGATCCCTCCCACTGATGTGCCAACAGCAGTCACAGCTCAACTACAACAGGAGAGTGGACAAAGCCCACGTGGGGTGCACACACCTGGAGTGCCCAGCTCAGGTGAATGTGAAGGTTCTGCCACTGGACCCAATGGGACACCTAGTATGTTAGGCCATTCTACCAAACCCCGGAGACATAGAAACAAACACAGGGAGGCTGGCAAAATGAGGACACAAAAATGTCCCAAATGAAAGAACACAACAAAACACCAGAAAAAGAACTAAACAGAATAAAGACAAGCAATCGACCAGATGCAGAGTTCAAAACATTTGTTATAAGGATGCTCAGTGGACTTAGGGGAAGACTAGATGAACCCAGTAAGAACTTCAACAGCATAAAAAAGGACATACCAACGATAAAAAGGAACCAGCCAGAAATGAAGGATACACTAACTGAAATGAAGAATAATTTATAGGCAATCAACAGTAGAATAGATGAAGCCAAGAATCAAAACAGCAATTTGGAATATAAGGAAGCAAAAAACACCCAATCAGAACAGCAAAAACAAACAAAAAAAAACACCCAAATTTTTAAAATGAGTATAGTATAAGGAGCCTCTGGGACAACTTTAAGTGTAGCAACATTCACATCATGGAGGTGCCAGAAGGCGAAGAGACAGCAAGAAATTGAAAACCTATTTGAAAAAAGAATGACAGAAAACTTCCCTAACCTGGTGAAAGAAATACACATACAAGTCCAAGAAGTGCAGAGAGCCCCAAACAAGGTGAACCCCAAGAGACCCACTGCAAGACACATCATAATTAAAATGCAAAAGGTTAAAGACAAAGAGAGACCCTTAAAAGCAGCAAGAAAAAAAGCAGTTACCTACAAGGGAGCTCCCATAAGACTGGCAGCTGATTTCTCGAAAGAAATTGCAGGCCAGAAGAGATTCGCATGAAAACCTGGGCAAAATGGACAAATTCCTAGAAGCATACAGTCTTCTAAAACTCAATCAAGAAGAGTCAGAAAACCTGAATAGACCAATAACAACTAATGAAACTGAAGCAGTAATGTAAAAACTATAAACAAAAGTCCGGGACTGGGTCACTTCACAGGAGAGATTTACCAAACAGTCAAAGAAGAATTAACACCTATCCTCAAACTATTCCAAAAAATCCAAGAGGAAAGGAGACTTCCAAGCTCTTTTTACAAGGCCAGCATTATCCTAATTCAAAAACCAGATAAAGACGCTTCAAAGAAGGAAAATTACATGTCAAAATCCCTGATGAACAAAGATGCTAAAATTGTCAACAAAATATTAGCAAATAGGATCCAGGAATACATTAAAATGATCATGTACCATGACCAAGTCAGATTTATTCTGTGGATGCAAGGTTGGTTCAGTATTCAAAAGTGAATAACATGATACAGCATTTAAACAAAATGAAGGACAAAAATCATATGATCATATCAATAGATACCGAAAAAGCATTCAACAAAATCCAGCACCCGTTTATGATTAAAAACTCAGCAAAATGGGAATTAGAGGGACGATGCCTCAAGGTAATAAAGGCCATATATGACAGACCTACAGCCAACGTCACAGTCATTGAACAAAAACTAAAACAATTTCCCTTAAGAATAGGAACAAGACAGGGATGTCCACTTTCACCACTCGTATTCAACATAGTACTGGAAGTCCTACCCACAGCCATCAAAAAGGAAGAAAACATAAAAGGCATCCAAATTGGAAAGGAGAAAGTAACACTGTCATCATTTGCATATGACATGATATTGTACATAGAAAACCCTAAAGACTCTACCAAAAATCTGCTAGATTTAATAAATTTGTCAAAGTAGCAGGATACAAACTTAACAATCCCATTTACCATTGCCACAAAAACTAAGATACCTGGGAAAAAACTGTACTGGGAAAACTACAGGACATTGAAAACGGAAATAAGAGGAAGACACAAAATTGTAAGCATGTACCGTGCTCATGGATTAGAAGAATTATGTCATTAAAATGTCCATACTACCCAAAGCAATCTACAGATTCAATGCAATCCCTTTAAAATACCAATGGCATATTTCAGTTACATCAGATATTCCAAAAATTTATATGGAACCCAAAAAGACCCCAAATAGTGGCAGCAGCCTTGAGAAAGAAGAACAATGTTGGAGAGATCACAACACCAGATATCAAGTTACACTACAAAACCACTGTTATCAAAACAGCCTGGTACTGGCACAAGAACAGGCATATAGATCAATGGAACAGAACAGAGACCCCAGAAATAAAGCCATGTCTTTATGGTCTATTAATATTTTACAAAGGAGGCAAGAGCATACAGTGGATTAAAGACAGTATATTTAATAAACGGTGTTGGAAAACTGGACAGGTACATGCAAAAAAAAGTGAAACTACACCACCAACTTACACCGTACACAAGAAGAAACTCAAAATGGATGAAAGACTTAAATGTAAGATGCAAAACCACAAAAATCCTAAAAGAAAACATAGGCAGTAAAACCTCAGACATCTCACGTAGTGGAATTTTCGCTGATACGTCTCCTAGGGCAAGAGAAACAAAGGAAAAAATAAACAAATGGAACGATATCAAACTAAAATGCTCCTGCACAGCAAAAGAAACCATCCTCAAAATGCAAGAGGAACCCACTGTATGGTAGAACATATTCGCCAATGATACATCTGATACGAGGTTAATTTCCAAAATATATAAAGAACTTGTACAACTCAATAAAAGGAAGACAGACAATCCAATTGAAAAATGGGCAAAGGGCCTGAATAGACACTTCTCCAAAGAGGACATGCAGATGGCCAAGAGATATATGAAAAAATGCTCAATGTCGCTAGTTATTAGAGATGCAAATTAAAACAACAATGAGGTATCACCTCACACCTGGAACAGGTTGCAACAAGCAGCTAGTGCTGGCAAGGGTGTGGAGAAAAGGGAACCCTGGTGCACCGCTGGTGGGCATGCAGACTGTTGCAGCCACTGTGGAAAACAGTATGGAGTCTCCTCCAAAAATTGATAATTGAACTGCTATTTGACCCAGTGATTCCACTCCTGGGAATATATCCTAAGAAACCTGAAACACTAATAAGGAATATATGCACCCCTATGTTCATAGCAGTGCAATTTACAATAGCTAAGATCTGGAAACAGCCCCAGTGCTCATCAGTAGATGAGTGGATAAAAAGTGTGGTACATTTACACAATGGAATACTAGGCAGCCATAAAAAAGATTTCTTTCCCTTTGCAACAACATGGATGAACCTGGAGACTATTATGCTAAGCAAAATAAGCCAGTCAGAGAAAGAAAAATATCACATGACCTCACTTATATGCAGAGTGTAATGAGCAAAATTAACTGACAAACAAAATAGGTCCAGAGATACGGAAGCATGGAACAGACTGACAGATGTAAAGGGGAGGGGGGGGTTTAAACCAAGAACTTATATGAATATGTGCATGGCCCATGGACACAGACAATAGTGTGGTTAGGCATGGGGTGGGGCTGGAGTTGGGTTGAGGGGGCCAAACATGGGAAAAATGGGGGACATCTATAATACTCTCCAACAATAAAAATTTTAAAAAGGACCTACAACCAAGATTACTCTATCCAGCAAAACTATCATTTAGTATCAAAGGATAGATAAAGAGCATCCCTGACAAAACCAGTACTACATGAAATTTTAAAGGGTCTTCTTTAAGAAGAAGAAATAAAAAATATGAACAATAAAATGGCAATAAATACACATCTAAAAAACAAACAAGTAGAACAGAAACAGACTCATAGATAACAGAGAACATTTTGATGGTTGCCAGATGGGACAGAGGTTGGGCGATAGGTGAAAAAGGTGAAGGGATTAAGAAGTACAAATTGATTGTCACAGAATAGCCACTGGGAAGTAAAGTACAGCCTAGGGAATATAATCAATAATATTCTAGTAACTGTGGTATCAAATGGGTATGAGATTTATCAGGCTGATTGCTTAGTAAGTTACATAAATGTCTAATCACTGGAGTGTACACCTGAAACTAATATAATGTATGTCAACTGTAATTGAAAAATTTAAAGACTTAAAAATAATAACAAACTAAAATAAAATTAGCATAAATTGAGTGGTGTGGGTAAGTCGTAAGTAGAATTAAAGAACTTGATAATGTCAGCACTAGAATGGTATCCTTTTTGGTATTAATTTGTTGCCTCGTCTTTTTTTATTTTCCCCAAGTAGGTTCTGACTTATTCTGGAGAGGAATGGGAGATAATATTAGTAGGAATTCTTGGGAGGCCAGAACAAACAACCTGCGTATGGTAAGTAATTGTATCTTCATATTGTCCCCATCAATAAATACGATGTTATCTTTGCGTTAATATATATCTGTGTAAGAATAGGGGAATAGGTATGACACCTAAGACTAAAAGGATGACAACTGAGAACATGATTTAAACACTCAGAGTTATAATGTTAGGAGGGACCTTTGAGGTTGTTCAATCCAACACACATGGTACAGATGAAGAGACTGAAAACTGGCTGAATCTAGTAACTCGTCTGAGTTCCAGCCATGCTTCATTAAGTAACAGGAAATATGAGTCTTCTGAAAGACTGAGTTAGAGTTTCCATTGTAAACACAACACCAAAAATTTAAATTGTCCTTGTTCATTCCAGGTAAGCACTTACACAATGGTTTGCACAACCCTGACACTGAATAACCCTACATTTTACTTTATAGTTACTGAACTCCTTGCAAATAATTTACATTTAGTTTTAACAAAGGCTTTTTTGCTTTTATGTTTTTCTAGGATTGTCGGAAGAAACATAAAGATGCCAAAAGGAGAGTGAAACCAAAATAAAAAGTGTGATTATTGGTTTTGATACTGATTTTGAACAAGATTCACTTATGGAAATTGGATGAACTAAAAAACAATTTTAGCTAACAAGAATTTGGAGTGAAGGAATATTCAAAATCTGGCTAATGGATGCAATGCTGGTTGCTATTGCTATGTTTTTCTGTGATTTTCCTCTATTTCTACTACCTAAGTACTTCAAAAAAATTAACCTAAACTTTTTTTTTTAATCCTCACCTGAGGATATTTTGAGAGAGAGAGAAACTATGTGAGAAACACATTGATTAGTTGCCTCCTGAATGCCCTTGGCCAGAGTTGAACCCAGGACCCTTTAGTCCACAGGCCGACACTCTAACCACTAAGCCAAACCGGCTAGGGCTGAACTTTACTTTTTTTAACGAAGCACAAGACAGTCCCTCAAAAAAAAAGAAAACTCTTTATATATAATCCCTTTGCCCTCCATCCTCAATAACTAATGGGCATCTTCTGATGCAAGCTTTATATAAACCGTTTTAAAATATATGGGTCAGAGCACTTGTGTTTTCCAAGTTAGGTTTTGTATGAATTATAGGCTACTTGAAATATTTATTTCTGATTGTACCAAATACACTTGACCTCCATTTTGTGTTATTTATTTATTTAAGAGGCTAGACACAAGTCAAACTTGAGTTTTGTACTTGTGTCCTGGTGAACAGCTAACTAAAACGCAGGACATTTCAGACCATTGTTACAGGAGAGTTCTGGGAAGACCAGAAAAGGACACCAAATAGTTTTTCTGTCCTTCCCCTCCAGGAATTGATAGAGGCAAGCCCATCAATCCCAAAATTCTACTTAGAACAGAGGCTTATGAAAAATCCAAGTGTTTGAAAGGTAGGTAGTCACAGTTGGAGTCAGGACTCTAAGTCCCTATAGGGAAGCAGATTTAGTACCTTGTTAAATCAACTGGGCTAGGATGACAGACAGTCCTCCTATCAAACTGGGCTCTGTACAGAATTGTGTAGCTCTGGCAGGTCTGGCTCAGTTGGTTGTCATCCAGTACACCAAAAGGCCGTCGGCTCGATTCCCTTTCGGCACATACCCACATACAGGTTGCAGGCTCGATCCTGTCAGGGCCCATGCAGGAAGCAATGGGTCGATGTTTCTCCTTCACATCAATGTTTTCTCACTCCCTCTTCCTCTCTGTTTGCCCTGCATCCTCAACTAATGGGCAAAAATCAATAAAAAAAAGTAAAATAAAAAAATTGTGTTGTATAAAAACAATCCCAAGGGATCATCATTGAACCATAACGTGGGTATTTGAAATTGACTTGCATCTTGATTGTGTATAAACTTCGTGAGGGTTGGAATGTCATCTGTGTATTCATTATGTCCCCACTGCCTAGAATCGTGTCTAAAACATAGCGGGTGCTCAGCACGTAATTTTTTAATAAACAGTGTCCAGTGAATTAAGTGGCTGAAGAGTCCTGTGTTTCCAAGACTGGACTTCATGGAGAATGCAAACAGCCACTCAGCAGGATAAATAACCCAAATGTACCACCTCCTTGTGATGTGTATTACATTTATGCCTTCTTATCTATTGCTACAGAACAAGTCATTAACAATCATTTATTTTGCTTACAAATAACCAGTTTGGTCAGGACTCACTGGGGACTGTTTTGTCTTACTGCATGTGGTGGTATTGGCCTGGCCCCGCTGGAACTAGAACCCGTTTCTCAGATGGGCCACTCTGCCTCTCCATGTGTCCTCAGCAGGGCAGCTGGGTTTGGGGCTCAGGAAACCAGTGCCAGCGGTCTCGAGGCCTAGCTCAGAAACTGGCTGAGTCGTTTCCACTGTGTAGGTAGAAACAACACTGAACCCGCCTGTACTCAGTGGCTAGGGACGCGGACCCCACCTCGGCGGGAGGGGTTCCGTTTGGACCGTGTTTAAATCTGTCACACCTACGTCTCCAAAGCGGGTCACATCAGGTAGCCGTGCCCACCCCCAACTCCTGCTCCCCGGATACAGCCACCTTCTACGGTGTAATGTTTCCTCTGAGTTTCTCCGTGTTTTTAACAAGCTTATGCTGTGAGTTCTTGACTTTTCAGGTTTAGAATTACCTGTCGACTTACTCTGAAAAGGAGGATTTATCCCCGGCGGGGCTCGGTCAGCGTCGTCCGCGCGCCAAATGTCGCTGGTTGGATTCCTGGTGCGGGAACGTGCCCTCCCTCTCCCTCCTCTCGGAAATCAAAACAACTACGGGAAAGAACAGTGAGGATTTAATTCTGACCCATGCAGTCTGTTTTGACCACGTTGAACCTTTCCCTAGACTCCTTCGCTTGCTCCGCTTCCCCTGGGCTGTCTTCCCCGCAGCACGAGGGCGGGCCTGCCGGGGGTCAGGAGGGGCCTGCGGGGGTCAGGAGGGGCCGAGGCGGCCGCAGCCGGAGGCTTCGGGCTCGAGACGTCGAGTTCTGGGCAACGCGCCGAAGCTCCGGCGCCCGGAACCTCCCCGCCCCCCGCACGAGCTGCGGGGCCGTCCCTGGAGGTTGAGTGAGCGCCGCTCGGGTTCTCGAGATGCTCTTAAATGTACTGAGAGCTTTCTACATGTTCTCGGCCAGACCGACTTTTTGCCGCCGTTGATGGAGACGGCGAGCAGGTGCGGGCCGCGGATTCCCTCGTCTCGGGCCGAGGCCGGGGCTGCCGTCCGCGCGGCTCGGGGGCGCGTGTTCACCCGCAGGGGCGGGGCGCATGTAAGAAAGCAGGGAATTGATTTGTTTTCATAGCGGGAAACATTTTTAAGGCTGGTTACCAGGCCTTTCTCTCCTTGTTTCACCTGCATGTGGCCGTTTAATTGCTACAGTCAGGCCCAGAG